AGAAGCACAGGGGCGTGGAACAGACAGGAGACAGGGAGTGGGAGTGGGGTCAAGGCCAGCCTGAGTGCGGGCAGAGGGTGCCCGCCCTGGCGAGTCGGGAGCCAAGGCAGGTTGGGCGAGTGGACAGCATGCCGTGCTGGGCTTTGGGAAGCCCCGCAGGGCAGCGGCCGGCGGGTGGGAGGACTGGGGTGGGAGGCTGCCCCTTGCACGCGGGCTCCCAGGCCTGCACGCGCGTGTGCACCGCGGCCCCTGTCTTCCACCCTGCAGCTCGTGCAGAGGCAATGGCAGGAGCCCGGCCGGGCCGTCCTGGATGCCAGCTCTTCTGCGGCTCGTGTGCCCTCGCCAGACCACACCTGCGTGGCCAGGGGACAGGCCTCGCGGCTTCCTGGCGGCCCCTGGCTCTCCGGACCGGGAGGCGACGCTGGCACTCGGGAAATATTTGCGGAACAAATAACTGAAAGGCTTTGTCCTGTCTCGAACGCACGTCCGCAGCCCTTTTCTGGGACAAACGCAACGAAACACTAGTCGGCGGCCCGGCCCTGCGAGGTGGCAGGCGGCCCCCGGCGGCCCTGGCACCCGATCAGCGCGCTCGGCACGTGGCGCAGCCCGTGGCCCTCTGGTGCCCTGTGGGGCCGGCGGGCTGGGGGTCCGGTTGCACCAGCAGCTGCCTGGCAGTGGCTGGCATTCCATGCCCGGTGGGTCACGGCTCAGTGAATACTTGTCGAGTGAGTGAGTGAGTGGGAGGCGGCCCTCAAGCTCGCCCGGCCGCCTGGCACGGCCCACGATGGGCGTGAGCATGGCGGCTGGGCTGCTCCAGTGCAGGGCTGCCGGGTGGTCCGGGCTGGCGAGGACTCGCACGGCCTGAGAGTGCGTTCTGTGGGCGCCGCGGGTCGCCCCAGCGCTCTGGGAGACGCCCTCCACGGTGCTTGCCCTCCACGGTGCCCGCCCTCCACGGTGCCACCCCCTCTGGGGCCAGCCTCTGGCAGCCCCCTCCACCCACCCTGGGCCCCAACCAGGACTTTTGGGGCAGTCAGGCGATTCCCCAGATGCTCTTGTTCCGCGGGAGGATGCATGTGGGCCCCTATGCACAGCGTTGCTGCCGCCCAGTGTGGCTGGGTCGGGGTCATGGCCGGCCGGAGGACAAGGGGGGATTCGTGTAGGGAGAACTAGCGTGGCACTCGAGCCTGGGGCCGCGCACTGAGTATTCTTGGGCCCCTGAGGCCCTCCGCTGGCGTGCCCACCCTTCCCTGGGTGCATTCGCTCAGCCCTGGGGTCTCTGCTGTCTCACAGAATGCACAGGGCAGAGCTCAGGGCCTCCCTCCAGAGAGCTGTGTCCATGGGGGAGAAGACCCACTCGACAACCCCAGCAGACAGGACCGTCGCCCTCTTCACTGCCCCTTCTCCTGGTGTCTGCCTCTCTGTGTGCCCACCAGCGCTCGGACCTACCCACTCACCCACCCACACACTGGCCCATGCACACATGCACGCACGCACACCCGGCCTTCTTCAGCCCCGAGCACCCGTCTCTGCCTCTCTGTCTCTACAGACACACATGCAGCCCGAGGGGCTGGCTCCAGAGCTGCGGGGGCTGAGCCTACAGAGGGGTCATCCGAGGGCGGAGGAAATCCCCGAGGGCTTCTCGGCAGCAGTGGCGCCATATTCACTCAACAACCGGCCCTCCTGGGCATGACTCCCTGCTTGCCATCAGCCTGCCTGGAGGCGCTGACGCAGTGGCGGGGGTGTGAGGCAGAGGCAGCCTGCAGGGCGGCAAGCGCATGGAAGGGAGTCGGCGGTGAGACGCACAGGGAGCGACGGGGTCCTGGGCTCTGAGGGCTGTGCAGGCCCGGGCAGTGGAGGAGAAGAGGGTGGGCCCTGGGAGGGTGACCTGAGGGGCCAGGCAGGGAGAAGCACAGGGGCGTGGAACAGACAGGAGACAGGGAGTGGGAGTGGGGTCAAGGCCAGCCTGAGTGCGGGCAGAGGGTGCCCGCC